TTTAAAAAGGGGGAAGGCATTTGACAAATCTGAGTTAAGCCTGAAGATTTGTAACAATGTGTTCATCATCTTTTTTTTTTTTTTTGCTTGTTTGTTTGTATTGTTTTGTTTTTCAAGACAGGGTTTCTCTGTAGCTTTTGGAGCCTATCCTGGAACTTGCTCTGTAGACCAGGCTGGCCTCGAACTCACTGAGATCTACCTGTCTCTGCCTCCCAAAGTGCTGGGATTAAAGGCGTGTGCCACCACTGTCCTACTACAATATACTTTTCTGATACTACACAGGCTGGTATCAAACTTCCAGTCCCAGGTACTCTTCCTCTTCCCGCTTCAGCCCTCTGAGTAGCTGGGATTGTAGTCATCTACCACTTTGCCCCCAGCCTGTGACCTTTGTGTGCCTCTGCATGCCCACAGTTGCTCACACTTATGCATTTTATTTTCTTCAACTAGCTGAGAGTAATTGTTGCCTCCTTAACCCGTAATACTTGTGTTTTTCCTAAACAAAACAAAACAAAACCCCAAACAAACAATACTGTTGCTCATCCCTAGCAAGTATAGTGATTAGAGTCAGGGAGTTAAAAACAATGAACACGGCCAGGCCGTGGTGGGACAGCCAGGACTGTTACACAGAGAAACCCTGACTTGCAAAACCAAAAAAATAAAAGAAACACTAAAAGAAAAAAAGAGTATATTCTAGAACTCTCTAATGGATTAACAATCGATAAATCTAAAACTTTTCTCAAAATAAATATTAATCAGAATCTAGTATTTATAAATATTATAGTATTTATATTATTATATTATAGTATATATATTATCTCAGGTTTCCAGATTTTCACAATATGTTTTTGGAGAGTTGCTACATGATGTGACATTTTCATTTGTAAAAAGATGTCTGTAAAGACTTTTCTCTTTTTTTTTTTTTTCTGCTCTGGATTTCTGTAGCAACAAAAGAAAGGGCTTGTCTACTAGATGCTGCTAGGAGCCAAGCTCCTCCCAAGGCATGCACATAACACCTCAGCTAGGGAATGCTGCATCCAATGCCACTTCTAGCTGCACCTGTCCTTTCCAAACCGGGCGCTGCTGGCCCTACGTAACTCTTTAGTAACCAACCCTTTGTGCAGGAACCCACACAGAAGGGACACGGGGTAACTAAGCAGAGTCCAGGACACTCAGAGCAGGCAACAACCAGGCAAAGTCTCACCACATGACTCCATCAGCCCCACACACCAATTAACCTCCCATTAACTCAATGGCTCTGATTTCCACACTCTCAGCCCCTCAAAGAATGTGGAAAAAGTGATACTACTTCTAGGTCCCCTAAATGACACTTACATACTTGAACATCATCATGAGCTAAGAAACTAAAAAAAGAAAACTGAAGAAGCCAGAGTTTCTCTGAAAAAGATTCCCTCTGGTTTCCAGCTGGATCCCAGCACTCGGGAGCAGTGGCAGGGAATCTCTGAGTTCGAGGCCAGCCTGGTCTACAGAGTGAGTTCCAGGAAAGCCAGGGCTACACAGAGAAACTCTGTCTAAAAAATAAAAAAAAAAAAAACAGAAGAAGAAGAAGAAGAAGAAGAAAAGAAAAGAAAAGAAAAAGACTCCCTGGGCCAAAAGTAAAAAGATCAAGAGATCAAGTGGGATTCACTTCGTTTATCAAGATAAGGACTAAAGGAACACACAGTATGCATGCATGTGTGCTGCTTGTATGTCTGTGCTGTTAGTGTGTGGGGGTGGGAGTGTTAGGGACTGCCAAGATCTTCCACACTCTGGGCACAAGTTCTATTACTATTTCCCCAGCTTAGAATGTGCCCTTAAGACACTGGTATTGGTTTCCCTCCAGTAAGGAGGAGGAGAAAACATAAATAACTATATATGTATATCAGTTATATAGTTCGTGAGGAGTGCCTCAAACATGACTTCCAAACCAGCTTAGTCAGGGCAGCCTGCAGAGCCGTTCATTTCACTCCCCAGCCAGCTGCTTCTACCTCCTGTGGGTGAGGCTCAAACATGTCACAGACAAGAATGAGGGCCAAGCCTGCCAACAGCTGCACTTCTGTGCTGTTCTTCCAGGAAGTCTCTTGCCACTAGACACTGATTTCAACTGAATGAAGACATCTGTGCTCCAAGGGTGCTACCAAGTTCCCCGCAGTGCTCACTAACATCTGGGTTCACCACATGGGAAACATGTTCATCACTGTAGTCTAAAAGGTGTCAAAAGGCCACAGACTCATCTTTCAACCATTTCTAAATCAGCAGCAACACTGAGACATAATCCATATATGACTTATCCACCCAAAGTAGGTTTTGGTATGTGCTAAGTTAAGGTGATGACTATCATAATTTCTGAACATTTTTATCACCCATAACTCTGTGCCCACTGGTAGTCACTCTCCCCCCAACCTGAGAGCCCCAGCCCTAGACAACCACTCATCTATCTGCCTCTGTGGATCTGACCACATTTCATAGGGATGGGCTAACATGACTCTTGATTGGCTTCTTTCTTGTAACCAAGCCACCCATATTGGAACCCACAGCACTACTTATTGCTGAGTATTTCAGCTGATGAACATCTGAGGTGTATCTGTTTCAGCGCTGGAACATCTGTGTACAAACGTTTCTGTAAATGCCTTTATTTCTCTTGGCTATACATACACAAGTGATTCACAGAATAAGAGCATTCCTACCGTCAATCATCTGAAGAAATCCCTACTTTCCATGTGGGTTCCAAATGACATCACATCCTTTCAACATGTACATTTTTCACTTGCATTCTAGCGGCTGTGAGGTTTTCATCTGTGTTTCTCAAAAAGTTAATGATGTAGAACATCTTTTCATGTTTAGTGACCATTTATTTATCTTCTTCAGATAAACATCTATGCAGATCCTCTGCCTATTATTTTATTAGCTTGTTCTTAAGTTACAAGCTATTTACTTGATAATTCTCTATATACTCTAGAAATGGGTCTTTAGTAAGATTTGCGTGTATTTTCTCCCATCCTACAGATTTCACTTTCCTGTGTGCTCTCAGTGCTGGGGCCGGAATCCAGGGCCTTACACACATGAGCAAATACTCTCCTGAGCTCCAGCACCAGCCCTCGTCCTGATAGTGTGCTCTGAAGCACATGTTATTACCTTAAAAAATTAATTTTAGATTTATTGTATATGTCTAAGTGTCTTCCCTGCAGGTATGTCTGTACACCATATGCATGCCAACAGAGGTCAGAAGAGTTCATGAGATCTGTACAAATGGAGGTATGGATGGTTTGAACCACCATATAGATACTGGGAACTGAATCTGTGCCCTTTGCAAGAGACCTAGTGCTCTTAACTGCTGAGCCATCTCTCCAGGACCAAGTTAACACTTCTCATGAAGCCCAGTTTGTTTGTGCTTTCTTTTATCATTTCTGCTTTTGTTATCATATCTAAGAAGCCAAAATGATGGAAGTGGAGTTTTTGGAGTCAGATCTATGATACCAACAAGCTTTATAAACTTTCTTCTGCACTTCAGTTTCTTGCCCATAAAGCAGAGATAGTAATAGCTGTAACAAAGAGTTGCTACAACTAAATCATACATGTGAAACAATGCTGGCACCCTTGTGCATAAGAGTAAACCACCCTGTTGACAAAACACATTTGATTTTTATCCTCTGAGACACGGAAGACAATTTTCTACATTCTCTGAATGGAATAGAAGCTCAAAGAACTGAAATCACATATATGAAATTACCTAATGTTTCTTCTTTTAATAAAGAAATCAACAAACAGGAAGACAATGGGTGGGAGAAGGGAAAGCACCAAAATTAAAAGAAATTCTCTGAATGGGTAGACCCTACGATGGTTGCTACCTTATTTATTCATTGGTAAAGAGGGGTCACACTGTCATTGCTTTGGTCTGACCTACAGCCCAGTTGCCAACCACTTGGGCACACAGTCTCAGTGTGGCTAATGTGCCTAAGAGGGAAGAGAATGAACAGTCAAGAATGCAGTTCCCAAAATGTACAGCATAACAAGGCTGCCGGCTGCTTTTCTATTTCCTTACACCCCCTGTCCTCTCTCAGAGTGCCTTACTAGATGCTTTCCCTCATCATGGGAATTGGCTCCTTGCCCTGTAGACCCCAGTGTAAATGTTATTTCCTGGAGGAAGGATTTACAGCCACACTACTGCCTCATCATGCTTCGATGAGTCTACTGTGTCCTCTCAAAGCGCCCCAGAGTCTCCACCAATCTCCACACTGCAGAGCACAGAGAATATGCTGATTCTTGCTAATTCCCAGGCCCTAGCATCTAACAAGGGTGTAATGTACCTGGAACAAAAAAGAGCCCAGAGGAACAAGGAAGCACAACTCTATACCAACTACAGAAGGTTATTCACCTAACACAGGTCTCACTTTCCAGCCCCTCTAAAGTGATCAGGGAAATTCTGACCGTCACACCTGAGTGTGACGTATATAGTGGTCACTGTACAGATCTTAAACTTTTCCTGATAAACCTTTAGGGGAAAATAAGTGATCTCCATCTCCCATTCCCAACCCTGCCTTCTGTAGACTGCCCAGTAACAACTTGTCATTTTTCTACCATCTGATGGCAATGTCACAGGACCTGTGGCTGAAGAAGCTAAAGATACTGGGAAGGGTGAGCAAGTGGCCCAAAAGTCCACGGTAATGGTTAAAAGTCCCGAGCACTCATCTTTTCCCTCACTCTGGTCCTAAACTAGGAGCCAAGATACCACCTGCCACATGTGCTCAACCCCAGTGGCTACCTTATGGGAATGAGTGAATGCTGCAGGCACTATAGAAAAAGCACCCAGAGTGATGCTACTCCTGAAGGACTGCTGGGATCACAAACAGTTCTCACAGGGAAAAAAAATACTGCCAAGGACATTAACTGCGGAAGGTCAACAGACGGGGCCTCACTGCTCCCCGTGCCCTCCTGCACACTGCTCCTGAGGGAAGAACTGTGAGATGAGCGTGGCTGCCCTAAGCTCTGAAACTCGCCATTACCTCTTGCTGCTTCTCCTCATTGGGATAGGTGTCTACAAACACTCCCAGCCCCACAAATTTGTCCATGTTTCCAAACACAGGCCCTAGAGAGAGAGAACAGATGATGAACAATGATGTAAAGCCAAGAGTTGACAAAGGAATAACATCTTATATGACAGAGGAAACAGTGATATTCAAATGACTCTTAAGTATTTCCTAAGATGAGCACACACACATACAAGCACCAGCAAAGTGCATGACCTACAACTGGGCCCACTGAGCAGCTGTAGTTGTTTGCTGCTGACAGCAGAAAAGAGGGAAGGCCACTGTAACCTTGTTTGGTACTGTAGTAGCTCCTGATCCAAACTGGTTGCTAAGACACCCCTACCTACAGAATTTTGCTTCACAAACACTTGGTAAAGATTATGCCCCCAAGAGAGAACTGAATTCCCAAGTTCTAGTTCTTGTTGCAAGAGATCAGGTCAAATCAGGTTCAGCCTGTCATCCACTTGGAGCACTGACTCCAACAACAGCAAGGAAAAGAGAATTCATCTCTTAACTCAAGTGTTGAGATTGTTGAGTGTTTATGTCCAGAAGAAACCAGCTCATCGGCCTCCAGTGTTCATGAGAGCCAGTGCATTTGGCCAGGGAAACACAGAAAAAACCAACAAGCAAGAAATCATCACAGGATAAGCCAAGTTCAGATTGCTTAGGACTCAAAATCCCATGTCAGAGACTCAGTAAGTTAATGTTCATTTACAGACATCAAGGGAGAGAGAAACTAGAAGGACTCTTCTCAAAAAGAGGACACAGGAATAAACAAGCCTGATGCACCCATGGGGGAGCAACCCAGGGTCCCTAATACCTGGCTGCATTCGATCCTTTGTGTACCAGATTGCCAAGCCATCTCCATGCAGATTCTTCTTCCCTTGTCCGTGGATCTTGAAGTGCACCTGCAGTTCCCAGTCTTTCAGGAAACATGGCTAACATGAGGAAGACAGAAGTGTAAGGGAGGAGCATGAAAGCTGAAGCCCATAAAGCTCTCAGCAGCCATCTACAGACATGGAAAGCAGGTTCGGTAACAAGCTAGAGTTAAAATGAAGTCTAAGACTCTGGAAGTACTCCTGTCATAAAACCAAACAGACTGAGCCATTCAACTGGTTAAGGCGCTGCGTAGAAAAGGTAAACAAACCACCTGATTGTCCTCACATCTTCCAGCAGAAACAGGACAGTCCAGGCAAGCTGGCAAAGGCACCTCAGTCTGCCACAATACTACATCTACCTAGAAGCACCTCTCAGCTGACTGGGGAGAGGGCTGACTTAATACTTGTTTGCCACTGAAGATTATTCCTCTGACAAAAACACTCTAAAAAGCAGGGCTTCAAAGAAAGGTCAAAGCCTTGTTCATTTAAGAAAAAAAAAAGAAAAAAGAGTAAGAAAAGCTAAGTCTACACAGAGGTTTCCCGAGGTAATTAGCAGATGCGATGAAGAACTCTAATTAGCTAACTCTGGCATTTGGCCAATTTGAGGGGCAAGCCTGAGTTCCCAAGAGAACAAATGGTAAGCTACAATCCCCCAAACCTTTTTGCCCACAACTGGGAAGCATAAACGTGGCCGAGGCAAACACCATCCCCTTCTACTGGGACAGCCTCTTGGGGGTGGGGGAACACTAAGGAGATGGGTGTCACTCAGACTTCTGTCCAGTTTTAGAATTGTGTACCAAAAAACAGAGACAGTGGTGAGTGGCTAAGTGTTCAACACAGTTACAGTGTTTTCAGGAGACACCAGGGTGAGCACAGTCTTTGGTTCGGGGAGGCATCGAGTTAAAGTCTGCTATGAAGAAAGAAGGAAAGGGGTCAGTTGGGTTTGGCCAGGTTCAGCCAAAGGCTTTCCAAAAGCCTGTTCTGGGTCTTGAGCAACACATTGCTTGATCATTTTCAGTGTTTTGTTTGTTTGTTTTTAATTTCTGGGACATCATCCAAAAGAATTAGCATCAGGAATACAGAGTCAAAATGAAAAGAGGTTGGACACTTTTTCACAGCAGGGCGCCCTGATATCTCCAATAGTCTGCCCTAGTCTGTCTTTTCATTTTGGGTTATCTCTGCTTCATTTAGCTTTCAGGGCAAGAAAGATTTCAGTGGCAGAAAGCTGTCCTGCAGCCAGAGGCAGCACAATAGTCCTGGGAAGAAGGCAGGGCCAGAGAAGCAAGTCAGGACGTAATTGCTGCTAATTCTTGGCCTTGGGTATCACAATGCTATATAGTTTTGCTCAGGGTGACGTTTAACCATGGCTCTGAAACTTTGCTGCATGTTTGAAAACCCCAATGACCTAGCCAATCGTGTTCACGCCTTTAATTCCAGCACTGGGGTGGGGGGGGGGGGGAGAGGCAGGAGGATCTCTAAATTCAAGGTCAGCCTGGTCTACAGAGCTAATTCCAGGATAGTTAGGGCTATACAGAGAAACCTTGGTGGGGAGGGGGAGGGGGCAAGCAAACCAATGACCAAATTGTACCCTATTCCAATTAAATCTGAGGTGGCATCCATGCATTAAGTCCAGTGGACAGTCAAATCTGAGAACCACTGGACTGGAGAAATGGCTCAGCGGTCAAGAGCATTGGCTGTTCATCCAAAGGACCCAGGTTTAATTCCTAGCACCCACATGGCAGCTCACTACTGTCTATAACTCAAATTCCAGGGGGATTTGACACCCTCACACCAATGCACATAACATTAAATAAATTTTAAATAAAATTGAGAACCACTTGCACAAACTATGTATCCTACTCAAATAGCTCAAAAATAATTCCTGATTCATTCTGCTGAGAATATAGGTATCAGAAAATCTTATAGATTAAGGTATTAATCCTTGTCCACAAATTAGTAACTCATGAGAGCCCATCAATGCAACTGAGGGCAGGTCTGATAATAACATATATTTCTGTTACCGTTGTAACAAACTCTGCACAGTCTTTTCATGCCCACAGCCTGAACTCAAACAGGCAAGTTAAACAGTATTATGAAGTCAGTTAAACAGTGAAGACATAGAAAACTGAGAGGCTAAGCGACCTGCCCGGGGCTCATGGTGGCTGGGTAACCAAACTGGATTTAGAATCCAAGTCAGTCAACTGATTCTTGCGTCTTTTGCCATGCCCTCTACGGAGCTCCACATTACAATCTAGGTTACAGGCTAGCCTGTGCAGACAGCTCGCAGAACAAGTGCTCTTGGCCCTCTGGTCCTTTAGAACTCTCGGTTAAAAGAAAGTCCTCTTTTATGAGACCCACTCACACCATCCACAGCTGACGAGAAAAACCATGAGTGTAGTAAGATTTCTTCCCCCCTCATTTATTAGGAGCCCAGGAGAAAATATCAACGGATGCCAAGGTCATCCCGAAAAGTAACGTGGGCGTGAATGTTTAGGAAGGACCTGGAAAACAAAAGGATCATTTTACACGTGCGCAGCATTACCGTGCAGCCACGCCAGGTGCTCATCTCGGCATCATACCTCAAGGAAGACAAGGTAGCTAGAAAAGGCCCAGAGGACAAGCAAAATGACTAGAATAGCTCACAGTGGTTCTCACACCAAACAGAAACGCAAACTCTGGACTGAAAGAAGGATTAAGTTTGGGATATATGCATTTTTAATGCTTACTAGCATTTATTTCTCTAGTCATAGTGTCCCACTATGTTGCCCAGGCTGAGACTGAATTTCTGGGCTTAACTGACTTCCCTGCCTTAGCCCCCCAAGTAACTAGAACTCCAGGTGCAGCCCCATATCCAGAGTCAAGCAGCTGACTCAGAAGGATCACAGATTTGAAGCCAGCTTGGACTATTACCAAGTTCAAGGACAGCCTGGGTTACACTTCAAGAAGCAAACAACAAAGACAGTAACAGCAATGAAACAATAGGTTTTTTTTGTTTTATAAAGTAACTAAATAAGATTTAAGCTATTAAACCCCAAAACATGGTATGTTAGACCAATGAGAAAATGAATTATTTGCTCTAACAATAGGGCAACAGAGAAATATCTGATTTCTTTATTATAAAGTTCATCATTATCTCTGAACTAAAGACTTTTGCTTGTTTTTTTTTAATGATTTATTTATTTTTATTTTACGTGCATTGGTGTTTTGCCTGCATGTGTATCTTTGTGCGTGTTGGATGCCCTGGAATGGGGTGTTACAGACACTTGTACGCTGCGGGTGCTGGGATTTGAAGCTGGGTCCTCTGGAAGAGCAGACAGTGCTCTTAACCGCTGAGCCATCTCTCCAGTCCTCTAAAGAATTTATTACTTTAGAAGATGGAATTCTGGAAAAAGGATGGTAAATGCACTAAACTCCAAGTCATTTCTGAGTTTCTTTAGGACAGTCAGAGTCCTAACACAGGAAGCCTCTTACCACCCGATTCCACAAGGCACCCTGTTTACTTTGCATATCTGGAGTGAGGCGGATATACTGGGTCATCACCATGGCATTGCCCATCAGGTTCCACAGCGAAGAACTGCTTGTTCCCACACCTATGGGAGGGAATACATCAGCTCATATTCTTCATCATCAGTCACAAAGCCACCACATTCCTACCAAAGTTGCCGCCATTCTCCTTTTCCTTTAGTATTAACAAATAAACATTTTATTTTTGAAATAGGATCTTAATATGTTGCCCGGGCTGATCTCAAATTCCTAGACTCAAGCCATCCTTCTGCCTCAGCTGCCTTTATTACTGGAACCACAAGTACTTGGCATCACACCCTTCTCCTTCGGGTGAACCCAACACACCCCAGAGCTGTCATTTGTGAGTGACACAGTAACCATAGTTCAGATCTATTCTTCCCATTTTATGTGGGGGCGAACTTCAGCACCGTGGGAAAGGACAAGAGTTTTCTTACTTATACCAAAAAAGATTGACCCTCAAATGCCTGTGAGCTTCATCATATTCTTTTACAATCAAGTCTCTCAAATGTGAAGCTGAATCCTCCTCCAAGTCTCTCGGACTAAGTACCTCCAGGTTGAAAACCAGTCTAAGCCATAGCATCAGCAGGGACCAACGCTAAGGAGGTACTCGATACACCTGCTACATGAGCGACCTCTGAGCAATAGCGTGTGGCTTTCTGCGGTTTGGATCTTGTTTTCCGCACCCCCTATCCGCAGTTCTGTGTGGCAAACAAACTCGTATTAAGCTCTCTGAACTCACTGCTCTTCTCTGTAGACACCTGTGTCAATTTTCTGGCATTGAAGCTGTGCTCAGAGACCTAGAAATCCCTAAAGAGAGCAAAGCTAACCACCCTCTTTCATCATCAGAGCTCGCGGCCTGGGAAGGAGCAGGTGTTCTAAACAGCAAACAGACTTATTTTCTCCTTTCTCCCTCCGACCGAGTTCTACCCGGCTTCTTTCTCCTGGTTTAGTTCTAGATCAGTCACCTCTCTCTCCATCCCGACACTGGAGCATAGCTAACGGTCCTCAACCATCCATCCCTCATTTTTCTCAGTTCTCTCTCCTCCTCATACTTCTGTCCAACTCCAAACTCGTTCCTCTGAGCCTGACACTAGTGACATCTGAGAGCCCTGCCTAGACCTACTAGAAACTTCCAGCGCTCGGGAAGGGACGGGGGTGGGGGCGGACCCGGTCCTTCGGACCTGTGGCTCATCATAGAAGCGGGGATCTTCGGGGGCGCCCCCTCCCGCTGGTGGCTGCGTCTCCGGGGCCACCCTGATCTGCGTCGCCGAGCTCAGTCCCCGTGCCCTCCCCTGCGCGACCACCTCGCCCCGGGCGCCTCACCCTGGTAGGGCTTCGACAGCGAGTGCTCCCGTTTCAAGTACTCCACCGCTTGGCCCGCCCTGACGTGCCACGGCCCCTGCACAGACCCCAACAAAAGGAGAAGGAGCAATAGCCTGGCCCCGTCCCGAGCCCACGCGCGCAGCCGCCACCGCCGCCACCAAGAGGGTCTCACAGCTGCCGCCATCTTTCCCACCGCCGGCCCTTCATCAAAAAGCCCGCCCCGTTGCCCAACCCATTGGCCTGCAGAACCACCGGCCCGACCTCCCATTGGTTCCTGGAGAGTCCCCGCCCCCGCAGGTGAGTATCTCACCGATTGGCTGGCTGGTAGCAGTTGCCTTGCCAACCCAGGCAAGGGGCGTTGCCGAAGGTCCAGACCCCCTTTTTTTTTTTTTTGCCTTTGTTAACCAGGCCTGCTAGTTAACATAGTGATTCTTACTTTGTTTCTGCGTTCTGTAGTAAATTTAAAGCAATAAAACATTTTTTTCCGATCCCAAGTAAATGTTCTATCGTCACTGCTATTTGCATTTACCCGACTGCCAAGCTATCAGTTAGGAAGACAGAAACGAAGGGAGCAATAGGCAAATCCATTGGTAAAGGACCTGGCCTAAAATGTGGGGAACCGTTCGGTAATCCCAGCACTCTGGAAACTGAGGCAAGAAGATGGGGAGTTCAAAGTCAACACAGTGAGGTAAAGAGCAACCTCAGTGATTCATTAAAATGAAACAGCTGCAAGAGAAACAAAAAAACAAAAAAGAGAAAGCTGGCAAATTATAAAATGTATATAAAAGACTAAACAAGCACTATCAAGCAACATCACCAAATAGTATTTATAGAAATGAAATGTTTGTCAAACTGTGAGGAGAGATTGAAAACATGCAATCCTTTCCTTCTTTCATTGCTTCTTTCAAATGTATCCAACATGGTTTCATCATCTTGTTATTAATCAGTTTGCCTTCATCTACAGGAAGGAGACTGGGCACATAAAGTTCCCTGCCATCTGGCCCTGACCCTCCCCTACAGCCAAACTGCCCACAGAGCCCTTATTTCACCAACAGCTTCCGGCCTCTTCCCCTGCTCACTCACTTCCTACTCTTTCAGAAACTGGCTTCCTCTTACCTACTTCCTCCTGGAGGCTTTTGTTGATTCCCTCGGGCCAGAGCGTGTGTGCACCTCTGAATTCTGAATACACTCTAGGGATATCTGCAAAGGATTTATCAGATCTGCGTTTACATCTTCCCAATAGACATAGTCAGAAGTTGCCGCTCTCCTGAACATGAATAACCAGAAACATAACATGAGTTTGCTTCAGGGAAGAGCAGCTTTTACCAATGATCTTTTACAAACTCCACCCAAAACAGATGCATGGTGACAGACACAGTTAATCTGTTTATGTCCATACCTTGATTGTAAAGCCCTTCATGACCCACAATGGCCGTAGGATAAAATCCAATCTCCCTAGTGTGGCATTCAAAGCCCTTAACAACCAGATCAGATCAGTGTGTACACAGGTCTATTATGATGGGTGTCACTGGAATTATGTAACTCGGTTAATAGATTATGCATTTTTCTCTTACAAGGAATGCAGCTAATGAGCTACAGGAAGCAGTTCTTACTCACTTCCTACACCAGGTCCCACCCACTTCCCCACTCCCTAGCCTTTATCACCAATACAGAGTAAGGGTTCTAATGGTTTGGAAGAATTATTTCCACTGTATTCCTCTGTCAGCTACATTGCTTGCATTGTGCTTAAATAATAAAATTTAACCTTTAATTACTTTTATTTACTTCTTCGGCTATCCCATTGTCCTGGGTTTTCGCCCTTCCTTGTGGAGCTGTGGTTTAAACCCAGACCTTGTACATGCTAGGTAAATGTTCTGCCATTAAGCTATAGCTCCAGCCCTATTTATTTCTTTATTTTTGTGCACTATAGAGGAATTAAATGAAGAATTTCATGTATATTAGGCAAGTACTATACCACTGAGCTATGCCCCCCCCCAACCTCCTTTCCCTTTAAGACAGGGTCTCCTTTGTAGCCCAGGCTGCTACAGAACTCACTTGGTAGCCTAAGGGCGGAGGAGGGGCTTTGAACTCCTGATCCTAGTTCCTCAGCCTCCCTAGTGCTAAAATGACATGTGAACAGGCCTGGCTCCAGCTCCCCATTTCTAAGTACACCATACAGCAGGGCTTAGTAATATAAACCCATGTTACATAGCTGTCAGCCAGATTTCTGATAGATGTTCATCACCAGATTCTCATTGTAAGGTGATGGGAGAATAAGGCAAATGAGCAGGCAAGGTGAATTTGCCGGCCAGGAAACCAGATGGTTTTCTTCAGGCTATCGCAATAGGGAGACTGCCCATTAACGATGAAGATATATAAAAGGAATGGAACCCAAGGTTCTAGGGAACAGATAAGCAAGGTGGTCATCACGAGAAGGATGAAGGGAGAATGTCTCATCAGGATTACTCTGGAAGAATTAGGCAGTGGCTCACACCTGTACCTAACACTCAAGAAGCTGAGGCAAGAGAATTGCTACAGCTTTGAGGCCAGTCTAATTCATGTAGCAATTACCAGGCCAGCCAGAGCTATGCAGGAAAATCCTGTCTGGAAAAAATATATACATACATATATGTTTATGTATATAAAAATACACACACATATACATACAGAGAGAGAGAGTTAGGTTTAGAGGTATGTAACAACTTTTATTTCAGCACTTGGTAGACAAATGCAGTTGGATCTTTGTCTAGCTTACATAGTGGTTCCAGGCCAGCTGGCGTTATAGTGAGACCCTGTCTCAAAAATCATTATTGTCATCATCATTATTCAATAAAGAAGTGGGTTTTACTTTAGACTATTCTAGAGAAAGACAATTATTTAAAAACATTCATTTCTCTGAACAGGAAATGGTGAGGGGACACAGAAAAGCTGCCTTCCAGAAGAACGGCCCGGTCAATCAGCAATATCAAAGTGCTGAGCTGTAAAGAGAAAGAAGAAAAGCTGTGATCTCCTCCCCACATGACCCTACTCACCAAGTGCCTTCTGAAAGATGGGTTAGGGGTTAACCTGCCACCCTTTCTGCTGTCAGACACTCCCGTGATCTGGGGATGCCTAACTCCAGGGCAGGCGGCATCTGTAAAATGCCCATTGTGCATCCCTTTGGCTCTGGGGACGGTGGTGCCTCCACTTTGTCATTCTCTTTTCTTTCTTTCTGGTTTTCAGAGACAGGGTTTCTCTGTGTAAACCCTGGCTGTCAAGGAATTTGCTTTGCAAATCAGCCTGGCCTCAAACTCAAAAATCGCCCTGCCTCTGCCTCCCAAGTGCTGGGATTAAAGGTGTGTACCACTGCACCTGGCTGGAAAAGGTGTTTCTGAGTCCCCTAGTTGGGTCTCCTTATAACTTTATTCAAGTCAAACCTGGTCTTCTAATAAGTTCATGAGGACTCCCGACATTCTCTCTGTCTTAGCAGTTTCCGTTTCTCAGTAGAAATCAAGAACCTGTTGGGGAGAACCTGTCAGTTAAGAACCCTGGCTCTGCAGACATCCAGGCTTGGATTCCCAGCCCTTCCATGGTGTCTCAGAACTGTCTGTAGCTACAGTTCCAGAGGATCCGATGTTCTTGTCTGATCTTCAAGGGCACTACACAAAAATGTGGCATACAGATACAGGCAGGCAAAACAGCCACACACATAAAATAAAAATAAATAAATCTTTAAAAATAGAAGTTCTGGACATAATGATAATGATGCATGCCTGTAACCCTGGCACTCAGGAGGGTGAGGCAGAAGGAATGCCTCACATTGAGGCCAGCCTTGGCCCTTGGCAACTGAGCAAGATCTAAGACTTTGTCTAAAAACTCTTTTTTAAAGGGGCTTTTTTGGGTTTTTTTGTTTGTTTGTTTAAACCGAAAAGGGGGGCTGGAGAGATGGCTCAGTGGTTAAGAGCATTGCCTGCTCTTCCAAAGGTCCTGAGTTCAATTCCCGGCTGCCCACATGGCTAGCTTATGCTCCAAAATAACAACACACAAACTGTATTCATTTAAACACTGCTTGGCCCTTTAGCTCTAGCCCTTACAGGCTAATTCTCACATCCCGATCAACCCATCTCTAATAATCTGTGAGCACCGGTCTTACCGGGAAAGGTTCAGCATGTCTAACCTGGCGGGTTGCTTCATCGCATGCGTCATTCGGAGCATGGCATCTCTCTGAGGCGTCTGCTCCCGAGAGGAGAGCTGTGGAGTCTGAGCTCACTTCCTCTTCCTCCCAGCGTTCTGTTCTGTTTACTCCTCCCACCTATATTCTAACCAATGAGGGCCAAGCAGTTTCTTTTTATTTAACCAATGACCTTCCTCCATCATTTCCCCTTTTTCGGTTTAAACAAAAAAAAAAAAGAGGCTTTAACTTTAACATAGCAAAATTACATATAACAAAAGTAAAAGTTACAATAATCTTTATCATAACTAAGGAAAACTATAACTATAAATAACTATTCTTAACTCCATCAAAGACTCCAGAAAGATACAATACTACCTAAGCAAACAAGAAAAAAGCAACTTTTAAAACTCGAGAAATGACAGAGACATCTCGCTGCCTGGACAGTCACCCAAAGTTCCTCTGTACCATTGGGGCATCCATCTTCAGCCTTCAGGCCCATGGTATCCAGCAGACATTTCCATAAAGCAGGAAAATTCAAAGTCAGTTCAGTCACTATCTGTTGTGTCCTGCAGAATGTCTCGCAGACTCTTTCATGAATCAGGAACCCCGAAAGATCATCTCACCTTAGGCAAGTTCAGTAATCCTCTCTCTGAGGGTTCTCTGTGTCCAGTTTATGCAATAGTCCAGGCAAGAGCAGTTTCTTGCCCAAATGGCTATCAAACTCCATAACGAGCCTCTTCGATGCCCATCTTCCTCGTGAAGTAGATTGGTGCTGCCAAGAGCAGAGTGTCTCATTGTCATGAAAAGTCCTAAGTTATTAAAACATTTAAAATGCCATATTCTATAATCTTTGAAAAATATGAAGAATGCCTATCTAAAATATATCTACGCACATCTAGAAAATATTAACTAACATGACTACAAACTTGACTATTATTTATGATTATCCATCAACAACCTATATTTCCTAATTATACATTACATTTTAATAATGAACTACACAATCACAATACCTTAATCAATATCAGAAATATATAT